CATTGGGTTCAAAGGAAAAAGTGAAAGAAATAGATGAATAACACCTATAACTGACATCTGCTGTGATCCCTTCAAGTATCTTGCACTTCATGCATCTCATATCCACATCACAGTTTGAGTCAATGGTGACGACTAAACATGCCTTCAAAGATAATACAGGCAGCTATTGTTCCTATAGTCTTGATTAGTCTGTTTGAATCATCTTGTCTTATCTTATCTTACTTCCATGGCACTATCAATATATTGAACCAGACTGACACAATAGTATGAGGTCAGGGATAAAGTTGTGTTGGTAATGGCAGTGTGAACCCATCATAGACAAAATTATTTAGCAGATCTTTTCTCAGATGAAAACTTTTGCCTGCCTGTTTTGTGACTCTAGTCTTTGGTGAAGTCTTATAAAAGTGTCTTTTTCCCAGATTCTGACAAACACAGATCCCAAACATCTCATCCCTCCTCTCTCTGTGTACCTCCTTCTGAAGCAGTGAGCAATATTGAAATCATTTTCTATGACTGTAACATATAATATATGCAACCAGAATAAATGCCAGTATAATTAAAGGGTGTTATCAACCCAATGGGCAAATGAAACAGGGCTGTATGTGATGGTTTCCATCCTCTCCTGTGTCCTGGCAGAGGAATGTGATCTCTCAATCCACCCGGATCTCCTGTGTGCAGACTGTGAACTGTGTGTTTGACCTGGTTCATAAGGTCTCACAGAACATGTGCTAAGACTGGACCAACAAATAGAGACCCTTATTCCTTGCAAAAGTTAAGCTGCGATGAGATTGCTGTGTACCTGTTTGTATGAAGACAAACGTTCAAAGAAAGAAAGAAAAAAATTATGTCATTTTGTAATATTGTATTCACCCTTTTTTGCTTTTGTTTAAAATTAATATTTGCAGTCAGGAAATAATTAATTAACAGCGGAAAATGTCACCTTCTGTGATGCCTTCACTCACACAGTAGTGATCAATGTGGATTACAGCCAGGGGCCAGTGTCTCTAGCACAAGTGTGATGTTATTATGTTTCTGTCCTCTTGTCTCTTGTCCATGTTACTGCACCTCTGAGTAAACTGATCCAAGCAGGACACTGACTAGTCCTGGAAATCTGTCACCTGAAGGTGTCAAATGCACGGCTGAGACAGCAGGCCCTCCTACGACATTGCTGGTACCCAAATAACCTCTGATGATTTGTCTCACGTACAGCACTACCCTCTTTCACACCTCCCCGTCACTCCCGTGTAGAGCAGTTGTTTACCTCTAGCTCGGGTTACACTTGTGGTTGTGCCTTGGCGAGTCTTGTGAAACCAAAGAGATGACCTGGAATTCTATCCTTTGACCCCTGTGTGAAAGGTACTCTTGTGACAAGGCTGCACTCACATGATTGGGTTCTTTCTTGAAATTCCCAAAACTATCATCAAAATAATGACATTGGAGTACTCTCTGAAACCATTTATGCACATGAAAGACATGCAAAATCTACACAGCCTGCAAAATACAACCATACCTATATTAGGTATATTCAACATTCAATAACATAAACATGTCTGTAATTAAGAGAGAAAGCTTCCATTCAACACTGCAGGACAAAACAGTGCAGCACGTAGCACACATTATCATATTTCAGGTCATAGTCCTCAAACCGGATTTACCATCTCAGTGTATAGCCTGACCTTGAATGGTGGGAATGTGAGCCATAGTTGACACAAGGCAAACAGAGTATATCATGGTGGCCTCCAAGGAAAGGGTTATTACAGTTACATAAAAAGCTTGTTTACAGCACAATAAACAATGTGCTACATAATGGGAGAGCACAGCGGCAGTAGATAACAGAGAAAAGGATTCAACATTTGCAAATTTTTATGACCACAACAGTAAAAATGACAATAATAGCGTCTCCAAGTTACTTTACAGAGGAATAAAAATAGACTCAGTGCTTTGTTTATACGTCTGTGTGCAGGAGCCACTCTGGACAGAATGAACAGAGCGAAGTGTTAAAGGACACAAGGTCAAGCTACCTCACTGCCAAACAGCACTGATGCAACAATAAGTATTTGTTTATCTGACATAAGTTCAGTAAATTTGATTTCGAATGCAAACTGTTTGAGTTTTGACTTAAACTGCAAGGAAATTTCATGTCACACTAAACAATAAGTTAATGAGCCAGGCCTCCTATCCCAGAACATGGGACCACAGCTTGCATGCTGCACAAGTTGAATTTTTTTGGTCAAGTTTTGTTTCATTGAGGTTTTTGGTTGCTGGGATCCAATTCCTCAAAGTGCTATGTTGTTATCCATGGCTTCACTCTTTTCAGATTTCCATAGATCTTATGGACCTCACTTATATTTTCTTCATGCTGACATGATTGTTATTTTGGCTTTGCGAAACAGTGGACTCACCACATCACTGCAAAACAACTTCAAGCCTGGTACTCTGATGATAGTTTGCTGAAAATTAATGTCTTGATGATTGTGTTAAATGAAACACTAAAATATAGAAATAGCTGAGTATTGAGTTTAAGTGCACCTCAAAATACAGCATGTTTAGAGGAATAGCTCAACATTTTGGGAAAATACGCCTGTTCACTTGACGAGATTTAGATGAGAAGATTGATACCACCCATGTGTCTCTCTGGTTTAAAGTTTTAATGCTAAGCTAAGCTAACTGGCTGCTGGCTGTAGCTTCATATTTACCATACATGGAAAGAAAGCAATTTGCCAAAAATATCAAAATCTTCCTTTAAAGGGGAACTTCGGCAGATTTTTACCCTAGTCTTGATCACTAGAGGTCACCGAGTACTGTCGATAGGAAAAAGAACGACCGGAATTGGTTCTAGCAAACTGGAGATCCTGCAGCTAATGGCCAGAGCTCCCAGTTAGTTATAATACACTTCTTGGGGGCATATCCTAAAGAGTGCCTTTTGCTCCTCTTAACTGACACAAAATGCAATTAAAATGTCTGTGCAACATGATCAGGGCCCTTACGTGACAACAACATGCCTTTTCAGATCATACGTTGTGCAGAAACCGTACAAAACAGTACTGTCGCCTACCTGTTTTTCCACCGCTCGCTTCACCGAAAGCCCAGAATAATCGATCACGGAGATAATGCCTTCACGACGAAAAAAAGTTTATTTCCCCACAAAAATGTCCACGTCTTCACACACTACTCTCCGATTTGCACACTTCCTGCAACAATTTCTTCTTCTGCATTTACCTGCAACAAGTGAAATCCCACAGGACTTCAGCGCGAACCGCGATTTCACTTGTTGCAGGTAAACGCAGAAGAAGAGATTGTTGATCGGAGGTGTTCACAAGTGAAGAAGCTTGGAGTAAGAATAACGTGTTGTTGATCTACTGTGGAGAAGAAATGGTTCGCGTTTGTGCCTTTCCAAATTGTGGCAACAGAATGAAAAGGTACAAGTGCCTACACTTTCATCGTCTACCTTTCCATGACCATGAGATACTGCAGTTGTGGCTAGTTGTTCTTCAGCTGGATGTGCAAACTCCCATACAAGTACTATGCGATCACGGAGATAATGCCTTTGCGACGAAAAAAAGTTTATTTCCCCCCAAAAATGTGTTGCCGCACATCCCTTCTCAAGCTGTGTCTGCCAAAATGAAGCTAAATTAAGTTATGAATATAACACTCCACAGTGGTTGCAGCAGTCTTCATCCTCGGAATGGCGTTTCTCTTCAGCCGGCCCCGCTGTGTTGTGTCTCTGTAGTCATCCTCCTCAAAATGTTTGCTGCAAATGCGGTGATCATTTTCGCATAGTACTTGTATGGGAGTTTGCACATCCAGCTGCAGAACAACTAGCCACAACTGCAGTATCTCATGGTCATGGAAAGGTAGACGATGAAAGTGTAGGCACTTGTACCTAGTAAACAAAGGCGGCGTGTTCCGGTGGAAGCGCCATAATAAAAACAACACGTAGAAAAGCTATGTGCGCATGCGCGACAGTTTTTAACTTTCTTAACTTTTATTCTCTTTTGTTCGTTCTTGTTTCTTCACTGTAACTCTGTGAAGTCCTGTCCTCTCTAACGAGGTCGTTTTCAGAGAGTTTTCATGCTTTTCTACGTGTTGTTTTTATGATGCCGCTTCCAATGGAACACGCCGCCTTTGTTTACTCCGGAGAACAGCTGATCCCGCTAATGCTTGCGGGCGTAGTGGCCAGACCAGCTGATATACCACCTGAACTCTGGAGAAAAACACATGCAGAGGAGGGAAGCAACGTCGGGGAATGAGAGGAGGGTCGAGACGGGACGGGCTTATGGAGAGGGTCCCTTAGCAACAAAATGGACGAGCTAACGGAGCCACCCGGAGTACCGTGAATGCAGTCTGATGTGTTTCACTGAGACATGGCTGCACAGGGACATTACGGACCAGATCGTGGATGGCTTCTACACCGTCCGGGCTGAAGTCCTGTGGGATTTCACTTGTTGCAGGTAAACGCAGAAGAAGAAATTGTTGCAGGAAGTGTGCAAATCGGAGTAGTGTGTGACGACATGGACATTTTTGAGGGGAAATAAACTTTTTTTCGTCGTGAAGGCATTATCTCCGTGATCGATTATTCTGGGATTTCGGTGAAGCGAGTGGTGGAAAAACAGGTAGGCGACAGTACTGTTTTGTACGATTTCTGCACAACGTATGAGTTGAAAAGGCATATTGTTGTCACGTAAGGGCCCTGATCATGTTGCACAGACATTTTAATTGTATTTTGTGTCAGTTAAGAGGAGCAAAAGGCACTCTTTAGGATATGCCCCCAAGAAGTGTATTATAACTAACTGGGAGCTCTGGCCATTAGCTGCAGGATCTCCAGTTTTCTAGAACCAATTCTGGTCGTTCTTTTTCCTATCGACAGTACTCGGTGACCTGTAGTGATCAAGACTAGGGTAAAAATCTGCCGAAGTTCCCCTTTAATCTGTTGTACAGAGAAATTGGTGGAGACGATTGCAAAAAAACAATACAATAGTAATTATGAAAAATTCAACAAATCAGAATCAGAAATACTTTATTGATCCCCGGGGGGAAATTTGTTTGAAAATGTTAAACAAATTGCAAGACAGCACAATTTCATTCTCATATTTTATTGTAAAAAGTGTATTGTAACAAAACAAGCTTTGTTTTACTGAAAAATATAGATAAATAGATGCAAGGCAAAACACCAGAGGGGATTTTTCTTTACGACCATAGTAACGTAAAAGCCTATTTCATTGATAAATTAACTCAACTTCCTCTGCAGTTGTCCCAGAGCGAGTTGGATGTTGAAAACACAATGGCATTTGGTGTGTAAGGAAGAATCCAAGTACTAAAACATCAAAAGCTTCAGTGCAATATGGATGATTAAAAGCATAACATCTGCTCTTAGTGACACTCCCTTTTTTCCAAGATGCAGCAGCATTCCTGAAACTGAAAGCACATATATTATAACTGTCAGGCAAAAAAACAAGCCACGTGAATCCCCCACAGAGCCCTGCAGAGAGGGGCAGATATGTGCTGCTGGGAAATATCGTATTTTCTAAACAGCAGTATAAGATTTTAAAATACCCATCTGTCTAGCATTGACTTAGGTTATACATTAACCCCATTTTCAAATACCTCCACTGCAGCGCCTGTTTGTTCCTTCACCTGTTTTTCAAGGGCAGATGTTTCCCTTTTAGAACGTGTAATAAATCACAAGTTGTTGGAGCAACTGAAAAGACCAAACAACACTCATATTCCAAACGTGCTTTAGTGAGAGGATAATGCACCTTCTTGTTTTCTTCACTTGCCAGCTCTTATCTCAGGTGCTGGTACTGCAAACACACACAGAGAGAGAGAGAGAGAGAGAGAGAGAGAGAGAGAGAAAGGAAACTAGAAACTCATAGTCAGAACCTGGACGTCTCTGTTGGTGCTAAAGCTGCCATGAAGAAAAGGATTCATGTTTTGGATAAGAGATTATCTCACCCCATCACAATAGCAGTGGGTCATTTTGCACCAGCTGGGCTCAATGAATCACATTTAACTCTCAGGTTGCAAAGTGATAGACATCAACAGGGGTAACGAAGAGACAGCCCTAATGATGCATTTGTCCACCATTAGCATGCTGCTGGGCTGATCTCCTGGAGACATCCAATGAAAGAGACGGGATAACATGCACATTACCAGCATGCGATGATGTCGTATGGCTCATGCTTCAAATGCAAACCCCTGCTTAAGGTCGAGGCTCTGTGGCTTGAACATGCATGAAATGCTTTTTGGTTACCAGCAGGCAGCCGGACCTGACAGCAGTTTCCACTGACAACATGAACAGGGGAGATGTTGTCAGCAAGATGTATGATAAAAAGTGGAAATGTCAGACATCACACAGAGGAAGCCGTGAGGGAACGATTACTATGGTTACAATGTAATTTAATTTTTTTCCTGCTCTTCTCAGCATTTCAGAAGAAAAGCAAATCATTACTCTGTGATTATTGTTATTTCCTCTTCTATGTCAAGGTCTGCAATCAGAAGGGTCGTGCGTTTACCATTTGTGCAATTTCATGTATTTGATAAAGAATAGCATTTTATTTTGTGTTATAAATTTACTTTTTTAAATGTGGAGAGCAAAGTTCATTGACACTTTAGGGACTGTAGATAAATGATTAGGAGAGGGGAGGGTTCAGAAATATGCAAAAAATAATGTAAATGTGTCATATTAAATGACATCTTGTTTCAGAAATAAAAAGGCTGGAATATTCTGGCATTTGTTCATTTCCATTAGGTGATTTGCTTTCTATGTGAAAACGATTACTCCATTCACATATTAAGGCTTAAATTTGAAAACACCATCTAAAATTCTTTGCACGGTTCTAGTTATTAATGCAAAATGAACTGTAATGGTATTAATGATTGTAAGTATTTTGAGATATTGCGGATATTCACCCCAATAATTTTCATACAGTCCCTTAGTTGAAATTACCTGCTGTAATAATGGTTTTTGACTGACAGCAAAAGCAAGAATATCTCTTGAGATATCTGTTGTATAACCTTAGCAAACAGTAACAATGTTTGCCTGTCCTTAGAGCTCCATGTTTCCACTTCACTCTTCTTTGGTATGCAGACTTTCCTCCCTCTTCCAACCCCATTTAGATTGTCTGCTATGAAAGACAGTATTTCTTCACTGACTCACCAGCATGGGACGAGATTGAATTGCCGGCTTCTTCAGAGTTCACAAAGGTTATGTAATTCACACATCACATTCGAATTAGCTGCTAATAAGTGTATTGGTCATATGACAAGTCCCTCAGTGGCTATCAGCTAATGGTGCTATCCATTTGTCTCGTAAATCCCCCGCCCGAGTTGCTCTGACGCGAGAACATGACGTAATTGCCTGGCTTGTACCACTTATAGCGCTCCAGTTTGTCTTTGGGCATTTGCTACACAACGAGTCAGAAAGAACATGGACGCCACCAGTGCAGCAGCTGTCTTGTTATATTTTGTCTCGAGCCACCAGGGGCTTATTGTTAGCTATATTAGCCTATTTAGCAAACCAGCTTGAAAACAAAACTTTACATTGTGTTGCACGCACAGCAACACCATGCAATGCATAAATTGGTGACCGGACTAAAGCAGCAATGTAAACAAGTGTGTAAGAGCATTTAAAATCGACATTAAAATGACCAACGTAGTACAAATACAAAGAAAATACATCTCAATATGGGCGCAACCATCTTTGTTTTGCGGGTCGTACGTTCACCCTCATTCAGCTCGGTGTACTGTGAGGAGCCCCGAGTGGAACGGTCGATATTACGACCAAAAGGGGGTGTGTCTCGGTGAAATGTCGCGACATTTCTGCCCTTTGTAGGTTCTCACTTTTCATACAGTGGATTTTTTGAGCCATATGAACCTATATAATGATAATCTAAATAATGTTACTATTACATACAGTAAGTCAAAGAAATCCAAATCTCTTTGGGCATAAATATTTTATATGAATGAATCACTGCACAACAATTGCTGTATTTCCCAAAGGAGGTCACCTGACTACAATTACTCACAGACGAGCAGCGATCATTTGCACTCTGGTGAACTGCTTAGGGAGCAGATACAATAATAACATCCCAACAATATGGAGCAGGAAATACAATCCTCCCTTTGAGAAGCCTATCAGCCTATTTTTCTGTCAGAAAGGAGTTGATTCATCATTATGGGATTCTTTGATGACACTGGTGCATTATTGCTGGTTAAGGGTCATTATATTATTAAAGGCAATACACTCAATATAATTCAATCCAATATAACATCACAAACTATGGCCTCATTTCACTGCTCAGCTGCAATACAGTGGAACATGTTTAAGCACTCTTTTTGACATGTGACCCTTTTTATCATCAATGACATGGTCTCATACCATGTTTTGCTTTGTGGTAAACCGCATTTAATTCCTTTGTCTAAATGACATTACTGATTTAAATACAGATTGAACAAAAACATGGTGCTGAATTACAGCTCAGTTAATCTATATCCTGTAAATATATATGCAGCTTGTTAGTAAAATAATGCCAAACATGTAGGTGAAAGGGCATCTCAGTCCACAACTGTACAGTATGTGGAATATGTAAAGGAAATAGTAACTTTAATGTAATCAGTCGCTCTCTGAACAAAGTCTTGGCCATACATCATTAAATGCCCTCAATTGTATTTTTAATTCATTCACAATAATTTCAGTCAGCCTAGGATTTATATTCTTGTAATTTTCTTCCTGCAGTCCCACATTAGCATTTCCCGTGTGTAGTTTACAAAATGCAGAGCAAACATGCACAAAAACCAGCAGGCTGCCCTCCAACATTATCCAGAGACACTGTTTAGATTTCAGTGACATTCACACAACTGCCCACTTGAATTTGTGTTGTTCTTTTAAACATATCTCTGGGAAGAAGAGAACAAATCAAACTGGTTTTGTTATCACAATGGGCAAAACAGCACAGTGTTGGGGAAACAAAGAAATAGGGAAACAGCGGAGTGCAGTGAAATTCTGCTGTGTAACATCGTATAGTAACACATCTGAAATCAAGCTAGATTGTATGCATTGGATGTGCATGTGACTAGTTGGTTGACTGTTGGCACTCCCTTATCTGCTACAGTATGTAGCAGTATGCAGCAGATAAGGACGGTGTATAGCGGATACACACACAGACAAACGTACATTTTTTTTTCTCCTTTAAAAAGTGTGCAGACTTTATTATAGAAGAATTTTTAAATAACAGGACTACAAATGACAAATTCCAACGCTTTCATGACTGTGAATGCTGCAATAGGACAGCCTTATCTGCACGTTTACAGCAGAAAACACACATTTTCAGCACCTCCATACACTTCCACATTGACCTCTGGGAGCTGCCCGGTCATCTTCTGTTGCCCTGTCGGTAGCCGAGGTGCTGTCAGGACACTCTGAACCACTTGTTGAGGTTAAATCTGATCGTAGTCATTTTCCTCATCCAAATTTTCCCATCTGCTCTGTTGTGAAGGTAAATTTCCAAAGCTAAACGGCTGGAGATGCACCCAGGATCAAATTATAACCTCCCCTCATTCTATCACATGCATTCACACACATATGCTCACACAGACACACTGACACACACACCACTTGTTTCTATACAGCCCTGCCCCTCCCCCGTCCTTTTCCCCGAGGCTTTGCCATAAAACAACAAGGGAATCCGCCATGGTGACACGGTGTACCCTGGTACTTTTCCACAGAAAACATGTAGTGAGAGTGTTGCAATACTTGTTTGTATTGACTTTGCACATTTATTTCCTCACATTCCATATAGTCACGTTAGATGATGCTGAATTCTTCCCACAGTGAAGCTGTTTTGCCCCCCCCAAGTAGGAATTGGCTGCTAATGAGCGTCAGAACTTTTCCATCCTTGGTATCATGGTAACAATCTTCATTTATACAGCTCATATTCAGAACAGGGTTACAAAACAGGATCAAATTGTGGACATTAAAGTCAAGTGAGGATTAAAACGAAAAAATACAATATGGCAAATGTGATCTTGTTAGGCCGGTGCTAACTTTAATCTTTGTCATTTAATAAGTTTTCCATTAACTTCTACTAAGAAGTGCGTGTCAGACAGTGACACATCACTTTCTATATAGCTGGATACATGTGGTGATCCTTAGCCCATAAGAACCCAGACCCATTTTTCTTGAAAGAAAATGATGGGGGATATACCAACTCATAGAACACATTTCTGATGTTTTTTCTTTTTAAATGTCAAATATTTGTTTTGTGACATATAAGTCACAATGGGTGTTTTTGGTAAATAAATACCTTGGTAAATAAATACCTTAATAATTTGACATTCATTTTTGTTTATATTTCTTCAAATATACTTTAAATTGAACAACAGGGCATATATTAATTCTAAATAATTGAAACAGTGAAATTAATTGAGAGGCTTATTACCTTTTTTGTTATTGTGACACAGGCGTCACATCAGATTTTCAGTTAAAAGCCCGATGTGACGTATACGTCACAGCAACATTTTAGTAACTTGTTTTATATTATTTTGTTCGGGAAATATGGTCAGAACAGATTAAATGCAATACAGGACATACTATTAAAGCATTAGAATTGTTAAATGGGTTTAAACTTACATTAGTATCAAAAAACAAGCTTTTTGAATTCAGCCATTTCCTTTATTTCTGTCATTTCTGTCATTTCAGTCACACCCACATTTTGGAGGGGACACTTTCCTGTCACAGTCACATGATTGTCATATGACCACCATACCAGGATGTTTTGTAGATGTCACTTAGGGACTTAATGAGTTAAAGTCTAGCATAAAGCTGTATATGGAAGATTCAAGGACATTTAAAGTGTTTGTGACACACGTGTCACCATGGGTTCTTATGGGATTTATAGTTGACCTTTCCTCTGCATGTATAATCCATTTAGCCACTTACAACTGAGGATGCATTCTGTGCTTTTGTGCAACAAAGCCACCATTCATGTATCCCCTTTAAGCATTTTATTTGAGGTTGGACCACGAGGACATGAGTTGTTGTCCTCAAATGATCTGAAACCAATGAGACGATCCAATATTGTGATTTATATTTTGGTCGGTGTTGAAGAACATTGCAGACTGGCCTCATTTTACTTCAGCAAACACTGTCAGGAACTCATTGTACAGTGGGAATGTTGAATCTAAATTAATGTTTAATGAATGTTTTTTTTTTTTTTTTACTTGCCTGCAACATATTTCACTAACTTTGCTCTTGCAAATTCATTGCTGTTATGATCTTGTGCTCAGATGAACCAGGATGTAACAGCAATGCTCTGACATCCTTCCAGTGCTAAAATTCCCTGTGCACCTGTAACAAAAACAAAAGCTCCATAAAATGCGGTTGACCCTTTTAGCAATAAATAATTAAAAAAAAAACACCCAAACATACAATACAAAGAGGGAATACAAAACGCAGGGTTTATAAGTCATATCAGAGAGAGAACTCAGTAGGCTAATGTCTGCACCAGAGAAGTACAGAGCCAAGCTGTCGAAACCACAGATATGAAAGTAATGAAGAGCAGGGTTCCTATTTGATGTTGAAGGAAAAAACTGTACTTTTCTCTGCTCTAATATAAACTTATCTTCAACTGTAGAACGCCACATCAGAGGATATGAAGATAAAATGTGTTCTGAAATACTGAGAGATAGAGTTAACCAAGTTTCATTTGACCAGAGCGCATCTTAAAACATGTTTAATTTTACCACACGTGGTTAAAAAACGTGGTCAGAATGCTGCTGTAAGCATAATGGTAGCAGCCGTAGGGCTAGCAGTAAAAGGGGTTGTTTGATTTAGTTCTGTAAGCCAATTTAGGTGTCTTAGTGAGGTAACTAACAATTGTTTTAATAAAAGCCACTTTTTTTGCTTGTCAGACAGTAGTTAAAATGTCCGTTACAGTTTCCTAATGTTTTCAATTAGCAATCAGTATTTTTTTAAAACCCAAACATATTGATTTCAGATATGGGTATGTTTACCTGAAAAATGACTCAGCCCTACTGTGCTCTCAGATTATCCATACTCTCATTGAAATTAAGATTCAAGAACACCAATAGACAACTCACACACACACACACACACTTGATAATACTTGTTAATCACACTTCAGGTAAAATATTACCCCACTATCTGTGAAGGACCATGGATTATTGGCAGTTTGACACCGCAGTGTATTTGGTGAGTCAGGGTCATATGCAGTTCAACAATTATTATGCAAAGAAGGCCTACCACCTGCAGTTTAAATATATACTGCTCAGTAAGCCGCACACAGACAGTTTGAAAGCAGTTCAAAGTTCACTATGTTTAGCTCACATGCATTTTCCATATTCAGTGTTTCATGGGTTATGCAGTGTAAAGTTCATCAACAGCTGCTGAAAAATGACACTGAACTTTGAGCTATATATAAATACGGGTCAGGTATTTTCAGGCGTCTCGTTTTACCTCTTATACGCTTTGATCATCATAAACAAGCTTTATATTTTTAGGTTTTTTTGCATGTCTGTGGAGATTTTATGAAATCTTGCAAACACAGGTACATCTTGCAAGACTTTTTTCTGTCGTGCATGCTGCTCCCCAAATTCAAGTGCATGCTCCTGGTTGAACTGAAATGCCTACTTCCCTCCTCAGGCCACATGTCAGAGAAGACTGAACTAGTTTAAGACTCATATTTTACTGATGTGACCTTTGATCCTTGTCAAGCAACCATGTGCCTGGGTCATGTTTTGGGACAGGCACGTTGATATCCGTCTGAGTCTAGGGCCCCCAGGTCAGCGGAGTTCATGTGAGGAGGTGGGGAGAAGGAGACAGGAACAGCAACAAATCTTTTCCAGGGTTGGCTGGCAAAATCCCAGTCAGTGTTGTTTTCATGACATGCATTCTTTAGCAGGGCTACGCTGAAAATGAAAAAAGGATGTTTGTTTGATGTATGGGAAACAGACACACACAATCATAAATAAACAGCATGTTTTTATGTGGATCTTTCTTCAACTTTTGTGGTTTTAAAAAGCTGTTTAAATGGGCATTTCATAACTATTAGTTCACTTGTAAGTGCTACTCAGTAGCCATGTTTCCATCAACGTATTTTTATGCGAATTTTGATGTATTGCATTAGAAAAGGTTGATGGAAACGGCAACATTTGTAAAAAAAGAATGAATAAGCCTAATGGGACATGGATCTGACACAGTGAACATTTAACTCACGGCTGCTCATTGCTCCCATGGCTCTATAGTACATCCATTATCGCTCCACACAGAGCTAATGATAGCTTCCTCACATTAATTCATGAAACAAATGCATTATGTTTTACGGGTTGGGGTTTGATTAGCGCACTTTTTATTACATCTTCTTCTTCTTCTTCTGGTTTCCTGACTGGACAATTGACGCCGCCTACTGCTCATCATGATGAACCAACTCCTTTTGGGTTTAAATTTGCTAAACATTTGGATGGAATGACGGCTAGTGAACATATTCTCTAGCTTTTGTGGCACTTCCTAAAGTTTTTTAAAATAACCCTGATGATGTCATAGTGATGTCAGAGTTATTTTGTTGTGGGCTTGGAGACTACAGATGTCTAAGAAAAATAAAGACTGGACTTTGAAAGAAGTCATAATTTATCTGGAAAGGAGAAGCACAGACTATCAAGTTGCATCATGGTATATGTAGGATCCAGTATTTGGTACTAAAAGTCTGGATATCTCTTCATCGCTTTGACTGTGACTGTTCTTTTAAAAATCTGTCTCTTGAAAGCCCCACAACATCATGGAAGTGCAATAATAAATCACTGGAGTGCCCCTTTAATTCCTCTTAATCAACTATTTAACACAGAGTACAAAACCTGTGTTTATCTCTGTTAACAATTGCAATAACAGATTTTTTTTTCCTTCAGCAGATTGAGGTGATATTTTTTTGTGGTGCAGAAAAATCAGGCTTCTTGCAAGAAAAGCACAACAGACTGGCAGACAGTTATTCTGCAAAACCAACCAGAAGCACCATGTTTGTGTGATTATGTTGATTAGACTCCTAAATGTACGACATCTACCACAAACGGCAGTTTATTTGCTCCACATCTGCTTTGACTTATCTGCTATTGCACTGCACTAAACCCCTAATGTGACTTTAAAGATGCTGCACTGATACAAGCAAGGAAAAGGCTGACTGATCAAATCTATGCATCCTCTTGCCTGCAAATAAACAACTAAACCAGGAAATCAGACGTTTATTTTCTGCCAGGTTCGCCTACTGACTGAACAAGTTTTGCCTTTTCTCATTCAGAACAGAAAACATCGCTTCTCTCAAAGGATGTGAAGATGAACAACCCACAGAAACTTGGGCCACTAAAGATAACCGCAGGGGAAAAACATCTAGAGTGAAAACATTAACTAGAAATAGACCTCTTTGTTGCCATAGCCACCTGTACAGCTGTAATTTAGACCCGTTGAGCTGCTCTGCACATTTATTTCATGTGGAAAGATTCAGTCTGAGAGAGAGAGAGAGAGAGAGAGAGAGAGAGAAGGGTGATAATGTTGCATTAACATAATATTTGGGGAACAATTTAATCTAATTTTAACTCTTTTCTACTTAATGCCATCAGTTGTTTGCTGTACCAACATGAGCATCTGATCATCATATGCACAAGCCCTCTGTTGGCTCACATATTGACAAGAAAGTGTACAATGTACTGTATGCAAAATAAACATGAATGAAGTCCACACTCTATGATCAAGCCTAAATGTTTTATTTCATTGACAGACATGTTCAGTGAAGTCACAATTACTAGCTGTAGTTCTCTTTCTTTTCCTCCCACTGGTCAAACCTGCTTGAATATTTGTTTAGCAAGGTCTCAATAAAGCTCACCAGTGAGAGTGAAAGGTTATTCTATACATTCACAAACAACAACAACCTGAAAACACAGGGTTTGTGTGGTTTACATTAGATATAAATCTGGAAGTGAAATAGGGATAAAAACTGTCATGTTATATGTGCTTGCTTATAATGTGCCATAATTAAACACAAAGGGAATTTAAAACACAAAAACAACGAGTGACACTTAATAATTTGTAAGATAAGGTATGATCATATGCACATATTTTTCTATAAAAAAGCCTGCTCATCATATTCAAGAATTAACTTTAAAACATACTATGCAGAGAGGAGCTGATGTTAACATAAAGTTAACATAACATAATAATAGGTTATAGATTAGATTATGCTAACACTTATAAAACACACAGGATATTGAATAATTTCTAAGGAACTAGTAAAACACATAAAAATAGTAACAAAAATACGAGGACGTCACAATTAAAAATTAGCAATGCTGATTTGTGCCATGTAGCAGCTGATTTGAAGTTAGTCGTGAGTGAGTCATTAAGAACATGTTCCACACAGGCCCAGTTACATAGTACACTAAATATCAGTCTGTTCTCCATTATCTCGTTATTATCATAGATGATTTACTACGTACAGTAGTTCTTGGTTCAGGGTTATTCAGGAAAGTCCTGTTAGCTTTTCATTAAATAGCAGTTTGTTCTTGATTTGTTGACTCTTTCATTGGTAAGTACTCAGGATTTTGCTACCCAGAATAAAAATATAGCTGCAATGGCGAGACAGGAAGTGGTGGGAACATAGATGAGTGCAAGTGAACCTTTAGGAGAGTTCAGGACTTTACACACACACACACAGACACACACACATTCTATAACCTATATGCCTGACATTAAAAATAGGCTTCATAGCAGTTACTGTATGTAAGACAGGACACACACTCACACTCAGCTGTGAGATCACAATAAATCATCAGTACTGCAGAATTTCCCAGGCAAATCAAATATTCTACTTAAAGATATAAATAAAGTATATACATAAATAGTCCAGTATAGACAAAAGTGTTTCACTCATAAGTGTTCTTGATCAGTTTTATACAGATGAAGCTACACAGTTTAATCAGCATTTCAACTTTAACTGGCTGCTGAAGTGCAGCTATTTAGAGCGGGCAAAAAGTGAAATTAAACACTTGACTCAAACATGTGGTGAAGAAATGTTAAAGAAAAAAACACTAAAAGGGGGATATTGTATTTCGAATTATTAGAAGATAAGATGACTGACTTTTCTCAACTCTTCGTGGCACCTCGGGCAGGTTTACAGCGACAACATGCTCTCATATTCCCCACGGTATTTTTAACTCGGTCAGCTGACCTTGCACTTGGGTCCATCCACCGCGTGGGGAGATAAAACTCACCACGAAACAAACTAAATAATTAATAAAACCTCACTAATCCCACAGAAATATTTAAGTAACAGTCGTAACCGAGCCGCTACGGGTTACACAGCACAAGACAGACGGCGCAGGGTTGAAATAATGTCTGTGGCGGTGAGCGGCTCCCCCGCCCCGCAGATAATGGTACAGTCCTGTGTTGAAATTCCGAGAATTGAGCTGCTGTGTTTCTTAGAACTGGATTCTCAGAACTGGTGATGCACAGAGTTTCGAGGAAACTTTTACAAGGTGACTTTTTTTCCTTCCTATTTTCTCAGCATTAGGTCAGAAGTGTAGTGAAGTAGCAGATGCTCATGTGGCCGCCTCGGCTGCTCATGGGCTGTGTTGTTGTTGTTTTTTACCCATTATTATGTGATTCCTTGAGCTAGAAGTGAACTAATGTTAACAGATTTGAAACACTGTTTGATTAGATATTGACAGCTGCACTGTCTTTGACTGGTTTTTGAGACGGAAGTACGACTTTAGGCTGTGTGGGGATTACATTTCATAAGTAGGATTTAATGTCGACTGTAAGACTGAAACAACCTGCAGTTTGGCGACGTTAACCTTTTTTGCCAGAGCAGCTGTTTTTACTGACATCCTTATTTATTTCACTTTTTATAGTTATATTTGACACAGGGCTTCCTATCAGACGGGTAAAAGTGGCTCAACAGGCTCGACCGGTCTGCTTCAGACAGCTCTTATTTTCTCTTTGCGCATTTCTTTTTTTTTTCTCGACATACACATACACATTTTCACTTCACTCAATGTCTCGAGCGCAGAGCCGACAGCTTCTCGACATTAGTTTCTAACCGGGGAAACACTTCCAGACAACCAAACTCCAGACATGACAGCTTAAACACTTTTATCTAAACTTGAACGGACTTGTGCTGGCCTGCTCGGTGTCTCACAGCCAAAGTTCCGCAGCAAACAAGCTAAACCACTCCTTGAAATCACGTCCTACATAAAAAACCATGCTCAGTCTCAGTCTTGATATTTTGCGGTTTAGAAAATAACTTGAGAGATTTTTTGGCTTAGCGGGAGGGGAGTAAATGTTAATGGGTTAAATGAGATGAGTTCTACTTATGTCGGGGGAACAGGAAACCTCTCTGTGTACTGGCAACCTAATCTGAGCAGCCAGGACGGAATGTGCTCAACGTCAAACACGTTTACAACCTACAGGCTGCCAGGAGCTGCAGTGTGTGTGTGTGTGTGTGTGTGTGTGTGTGTGCAGGCTGACAGCGGAGCACACACACACACACACACACACACACTGCACTGATTTACACTGTTATACTCTCATTTTATCTTTTAATGTCTGTGCTTCACATGGGCCTCCGAAATAACGAGACAGTTCTCAGTAATAACATGTCGATTGTGTAATAACGCCGCCATTAAGGTCCCATAAGAAGTAAGGCAAGGATCAAAACAGGTTTAGTCAGCCTACCTTTTACTTTTCGCTCTGCAATGCCGCCGCCTCTTGATAAAACACAGGCAGGACACTTGTCAGGTTCAAAAGCTTGTTTTGATTATAAGGCCTGAAGGCAGGTGGCTTGTATTAGCTGAGAGTATGAGCCGGACGGAGGTGATGAAATATCATTTATTATTGATTATCTTGCATAATTAAACAAATTGTTCATTTGTGTATAACTTATTGCATTTTAATTTATCTTGGCTTGTTGTGTGATTTTGCTTTTGCAAAGTTAAAGTCCAAATGTGCTGCAAATTAAAATGTATCTCTAATATCACTTTTTATTGTGCATATGTTATTATTTAGAAGTAAATTAATGCAACTTTTAACTTGAAAATATGGTTGATATTGATGGTTAGTGAACCTCTCTTATGTGCCTTTAGAGTCACTCATAATGAACACACTATTTATTGTTTGTGCCTTTGCTCAGATTTGGACAACATGGCCACAACTGCAGATGGCTGCATTCAATTCACACGCCACGCAGGTGACGTCCTGCTCAACTTCAACCGCCTCCGCAGCAGGAACATCCTGACTGATGTCACCATACAGGTGGACGGACTGCATTTTTATGCTCACAAGGCCATCTTGGTGGCCTGCAGGTACGCACCATCATGATATGTGACACAGTAGCTGTACCTAATGAAGGGATTCTAATTCTAGACCATATTTAATATTTCTTAGTTCAGTGAATCACCGCCCCTGACGCAGCCACACCATATAATTTTACCAAATAAATTAATTTTCTGTATTTAATGACTCTCATCTGTGCACATGCTCAACACTGTCTCCCCCTCTCTCTCTCTTGTTCTCTTACAGCGGCTTCTTTTATTCTGTGTTCATGAACCCTGAGAACTCAAACCTTAGTGCCATCAGCTTAGACCCCAAAGTGGACCCCAAGGGTTTTTCCATTCTGCTGGACTTTATGTACACATCCTGTCTGAACCTTAAGGACAGTCTGGTCCTGGCCACCATGAACACAGCCATCTACCTGCAGATGGAACATGTGGCCGACACTTGCCATAGATTTATCAAGTCCAGGTAAAGGAAAATAGAAAATAATGACAAGAAGCACTCTAATGTCTAAAGAGATCCGAGTCGGAGGTACTAACTTATTGAATATGTTTCTGCAGGCATCAGTCTGTTAATGTTGAAGAGGTACAGATCAACTCGTTGCATCTGGCTGAGGAGATCCCTGCTTTGAAGCTTGTCGATAAAAAAGAGCCAGACTTTCAAAACAACCACACATCGACCTCACCCCCTCTCCAGGATTGCAAGGGCTACATCCCCAATGTTTTCAGGGGGATCAACACCTCTGGCTCCTATCACGTCTATGGAGACCTCCATGCCCCTACCGGGAAGCTGGAAGCCTCCTATGTGGTCAGCGACCTTCCCAAAGGTGGCGCTTTGTCCCAGAAAAGATGCTCACAGGTACCCAGCACCAACATGGCTCACAATGAGTCCACCACCATCATCTCCCACGCTGTGCCATCCCACCCCAGTTTCCCCACCACTATCATCCGACCAGCAGGAGCCCGCGGGAGCCTTCAAAGGCCCGATACTCCAATGGAAGAAGACAGCATTCAGCATCCACAAACCAGCTGTCTAAGATTGTCTCCAGGTTTTATCAAAGGTGTGATTTGTAGCCCTCAGAGCCCCCTCAGATCTGACTGCCAACCAAACTCGCCCACTGAGTCCAACAGCAGCAGAAATGCCACACTGAGCCTCAAACAGCTCTCAGACTGTCCCAAAGACGCCAAGGCCCGCAACTGGAAGAAATACAAGTTGATCGTTATGAACCAAGCTCCCGATGAGAATGTAAAGGAGGCTCAGGGAGGCAGCGCTAAAGCTTCGGCCATGTCCCCTACGCCAAGCCCCTGCAGGAGTGGTGCAGCGGGTAGACACTGTGAGGTCCAGGCAGAAGAGGGAGCCAGGGAGCACAGAGAAGAAATTCTGATGTCGCAGAATAACGACAGCTGCAGCAGCAGCACCTGTAGCAGCATCAGGTAAACCTTCAGCTCATTTTGAGAACAATAAACTTGATAGAAAAGAAGAACTAAACTTTATATTAATCGCTGGTTGTGTTTCTGTGTGCAGCAACCGCAGATGCTCCTCCTGTGGCTGCGACAGCCCCCGGTGCATGGAAATGGGTCACCTTTCTCCTTTCTCATACAGCAGAGATGACATAACCAAACTACACTCAGAGTACTCCTCCTCCAGCTGTGGTAGGTGGACTCACACAAGTCCCATACTATTATCCTGTATATAAATTAAAACCAGTGATTTGGGAGGATTATTTTTAACAAAATAATTTAATTCCCTTTGATTTTATTGCTTCTTTCTACAGAAAACAACACCTACTTCTGCAACGGATGTGACTCCAAGTTCATAGAGGAAGACTCCCTAAAGGACCACATGGTCCAGGTCCACAGTGACAAGCCATACAAGTGCGACTGCTGCCAGGCTGCCTTCCGCTACAAGGGCAACCTGGCCAGCCACAAGACCGTTCACACCGGTAAGATTAAGCATTCCTATAAGTGGCATCAAATTAACTTAATGGATGTGACTGTGTCATTCATTGCACAACCTGCTGCTCTTAAGGTGCAAAGCCCTACCGCTGCAACATCTGTGGTGCCCAGTTCAACCGACCAGCCAACCTCAAGACCCACACCCGCATCCACTCTGGAGAAAAGCCATACAAGTGTGAGACATGCGGCTCCAGATTTGTCCAGGTGAGAAAAAAAAAACCCATAGCCACATCTTCAGGAGAGCGTTGCAGCCTTTAAGTGTATGTATTTTAATAAATCATATCATTGTCCTCCAGGTGGCCCATCTTCGTGCCCATGTGTTAATTCACACAGGAGAGAAGCCGTACCCTTGTGAGATCTGTGGAACGCACTTCCGCCACCTTCAGACGCTCAAGAGCCACATGCGTATTCATACCGGAGAGAAGCCTTATCATGTAAGCTTCGTCAGTCCTACATCCTTATCCACTGTGGCTGCTGGCTAAAAAGAGAGTAATCCCTTCCCCCCTATGATCTGTGTGCCTATCAATAGTTATAAGTACTGAGTAGTAATCCTGGAGTGCTATCAGCTATAGCTGTGGGGGCTGGTGCGTCACACTGTCTATTTGAAAAGTGATTCTGAATTATTTTTTCCTTTTCCTCAGTGTGAAAAATGTGACCTCCACTTCAGACACAAGAGTCAGCTGAGGCTTCACCTGCGACAGAAGCACGGCGCAGTCACTAACACCAAGGCTCAGTATCACAGGACGCCCAGCAACATCAGCACAGGGCTGGTGAGCTCCTGTTGAGCCCGTCTGCGGTCCCGTCTGCGGTCCCGTCTGTCAGTTTTGTTTTCCTTTTGCATCGGCTGCCATGTTGTCAAAAAGATTTTAATTTTTTACTGAAACATAAATACTATATATATGTATATAGATATACATATATATATTTATAATATATGCCCTTTATGCATTTGTATATGATGCATATTACTTAATGTAAGCTCTGTGGTATTTCAAAGGTTGTAGAAGTTTATGCTTTCGTTATGAATGAATGTCTAACAACAGAATGTATATTTTGAATGTGAATTTGAGCTGGTATTTCTCTGTTTTGCAAATCACTTAACAGAATGTTAGCATTGAAGGACATTCCTCTTTCTCATTTGGATCGAGAATCACTGTTACAGTTTTGCTTTAGGTATTGGTTTGAATTTGCCCAGTAATGTGGTCACACTATATGCAGTTATTTTTCATTAGGTTGTTTTTTGTAAATAAGATAATATATATTTTTAGATGGCCATCTGCTGGCAGAGTACAAATATATTTACGTTAAGTTTGTTTTTCTTACGTGCAGTGAGCCTCACTGACTGTCAGTAACACAAGGGCAAGTTATTTTGCCATTTCAAAGTTTGCGGTACGTATTGTGATATGTACAGATTGTTATTCATTTAATAATTGCTATGTACATATTTTCTTTTTTGCAATCATTTGTAGGGTCTTGTTGGTATTTTGCACATACTCATGCTGTAATTCATATATTTTCATACTTTTCACTCAAATAGATCTACTTAAAATGTTGTTGACATGTTGAAATTGTTCATTCGACCTGTATTCTTATTTATATTCTAACTTTCCTTTGCTCTATTGTATTACAAGTTGGTGCTGCAATGATCCATTTTCCCCAGCGGGATCATTCAGGATTGATCGTATTGTATCTCACCTTATGTATTATAGTGCACTCGTATGAACCAGTATATTCATAGTGCCTTACATTCACACTCTTCTGTTGGTGATCTTTGCAGACTATCAATACATTATAAGTTTGATAAAACAAAAGCCCGGTAGTTAAAAGCGGTTTTGTGATGCACATCACATTTGGTACGTTGCTCTATTGTCATGTGTATGCATGTCAGGTACTGTTTGTTTTGGAAGCTGATAATCTGTTATGTGTAGCTCTTAAAATGCAGATACACCAGGCCTCAAGCTAAAAAATGCTCAGGAATATTAGTAATATGTAAGCAAAAGTCTTTGTAATTGCAGATTACATATATATTACATGAAAATAAAATGTACATAATGTAGCACTTGCAACACTTGTGTTAATTGATTTGAAGTGAGATGGTTCTGCAGGTATATGGGAAGAATACATGCTAAACCTTCTCTTTGGCTCTCCCTGGTGTCTGACTTGAGGTGAGCATTTTGAGGAGCACGGATGGTTAAATCATTTTCAAGTGGACAAAAAAGGACTTACTCATCAATAATTACATGAAAAAAATTTTAAACTGAAAGAAAAACTCCAGATGAACTAATCATATAATCTATATAATATAATAAGTGTTGCTGAAATATACTGTATAATTTAAAAAGTAAGATTGTAAAACTATAACAATAAAATGTAGGATTTGTAGAAATACATCTCCCCATTAATTACCAATATTTATATAAAGAATTATATCTGTATATATTTTAGCACTTATTTACCGTAGTCAAAATATTTACTTCATCACTCATTATTTATTTATTGATGAATAAGACATTTTTCATCTTGCATGAAATATCCAGTTCAAGGTGAATTAAGAAAAAAAGACAGAAATCGGATAAAATCTTGGATAAACTTGCAAAAATTAGACAGTGATGTCCAGCGCCCCCTGCTGACTGATTAGGTTTAAAGCCACCAAGTGCCACCAATAGTCAAATATACAAATAACAAAAAATAAAGCACATGCAGTATAAATAGTAAACCCTGACATATTATTGAATTCTAGATTAACTGAACAAAACAAAGGGGAAAAAGTAATTGTTTTTAATGTTCAGTTTTATCTTTCCTCCTTCAAGTGGGTACAGATACACTACAGATTAAACAAAATGTTCAGTTTTATCTTCATGTTTAGACTAGTTTCAAATGTCAAAGCCGTGATGAATCACAACGAGGTGTTCTGCTACAGAGTCAGTCAATATTCATCGAAGAATGGGCCATCTTTCACTGAAACACACCTTATAATGCTAATGGCACAAAGGCAACAGGTCATGCCCATGTAGCGCTGTCCATTAAACATGAGACAGATATTTTATGCACTTTATTTGGACACTATTGGCTGTTCAGTGTTAAGTCTGCCGTCATTACGTCAAACAGCTATTTGGTCTGAAGCATTATGGCTGCTTCCAATGACATGATACTCTGAAGACATTAGTGATATATACCATTTTTTGAGAGATTTCCAGTAACCAGAAGTGTATTTGATTGACAACAAAGTGCTCCTTTGAGCGAATTATATATTTTGTTCCTATGCAAAAGGCCTCAAACTACGATGAAAGACAGTGCAGACAAACTGTGAGCTCTTCTGAACACAAACGAGTTGATCACAATTAGCTGCTAAGCATCTCTACTTCACTCATTCATACCAATACATATAGTACTCTCACTCACAACCAGTGCAGAATTTACAAAAGAGATGGAAAATAAACAAAAAACAGTAACCAAAAGTAAAAAGTCATATGAATGGACATATAAACTTATTATAGTGTACTTGCAGTTGATAAAAAGAAAACTACTAAAAAGGTAAATGAATGTTGTTGGCAGCAGGAGAAACTCAACCCTCTTTGTCTAGGACTGCTTTCACATCAGCAAATACCTGAAAGAGAAAAACTTTATTTTAGTAACCTGAAGTGCTGCTGTATTAATCCAGATCTCTCTGAATTAATGGTGAGTAGAGTGTTAAAACTGAAAGGGGTGAAAAACTCAAAACACAGAGAGTCAAACTGTTATGACTGTCAACCATCTGTTGCCCAGTAATGGTGCTGCAACATCTCAGCCTTACAGTCTGTGACATCACCTTTGTTTCTGAAGTGATGTTTATAAAACTAGGATGACTACCTCCTATCATTTCTGTCTTTCGGTGGAGCCAGTGAATCCAAAGTTAAGTTTTTATGTTGGGGTGAGTTTGAGTTAGAGTATCTTGTGGCCACTCTGGCTTTAACATCCATGGGTAGCGTTCATAGATGCTTACTTACCTCATCCACAGAACGAGAGGCATCTACAGTCCGCACCTTTCCATGTTTCTCATACAGTTCAATGATTGGTCGTGTAGACTGCAGGTAGGTTTGGATTCTGCATCACAGAAAAAGATGCCTGGTTATTGGGGTCAGATGACACAGGGGACTCAAATGAGGCACAAATTAGGTCAAAAACACACGTGCAGGTATCCAACAGTCGGCTAAATGGGTCAGACAAATCTATACTGATCAGACATGTTTGTAACAGACAGAAGATAATCAGTCCATAAAATCAATTAATGGTAAAAGGCAGCATGTGTTTTAGGACTGTACCTTTTCTCCAAGCTTTCTCTGTTGTCATCTGAGCGTCCACTGCTCTTCCCTCGTTCTAGACATCTGTTGATGCAAACCTGTGGATAAAACAGACAGAGGTCATGTGCTCATTGTAAAATGGCTCTGATGATATCAGCTCAGTTCTCTGCATGCTTCTAAAAACAGCTGAAGGGGTTTTAGTTTTCTAGTTTCCATGACGTACCTCATTGCCGCAGTCAAAGAAAAGCACAAATTTGACATCTGCTTTGCCATCCATGACAGTGTTCCACCCCTGAAGGTTGTCCTCGTTACGGGGAAAACCGTCTATGAGGAAACGGAACTTTTTCTCATCTTTCTGCATTGTCTCCTCCATTGCCTTACAAGACAGAAACAACAACAAACCTTTTACTCCTAATGCAAATTCTCTGAAACAGCGGTTTATTCAAATGACAAATCAGAACCTGGTGCCAGAGCGGCCAATCACAGTTACTGGTATCAAGGTGCTGACAAACTAAAGTAAGAAAAACGAACAGTCTGACAGTGCAAATGTGATTTTGTTGGCATTTCAAAACACACTATAGACATTAAAACATTAGCAATCACCCATGTCAGACATTGTCTTGGATTACAACCAATAAAGTCTAATTTTGTAAGCAAAAATAGATTTTTTTTTTGGTTCTTCGTGCATTGTTTATTCTTTCATGAATTATTATATGTCAAAAATAATGATAACACAAGTTATCAGAGCTTGAAGTGTCTTTAAATAAATTATTATGTCTGACCAACAGTCCAAAAACCAAAATACTTTTATCTAAATTATATAAAACACAAAGAAACACTAAATCCTCAAATTCACAAGGCTAGGAGAAGCAATTACTTCTATATTTACTTCATAAATGACTTAAGAAATGCAATGATTGTCGCTATTTAATAACCAGTAAATTAAGTAATAGACTAAGAGGAATTGACAACGACATGACTAACCAACAGAGTAGATTCAAACTCAGAGCTTTTTTAGGGAAATTTTAAAATCAAAGTTTAAGTGTAATTTTCACTTTTTGCTTATTTTTATATTTTATACCTTGACAAAAGTCCAGTTGTGTTGAGCTGTAAACAGGTCCTGACTAAAAGTGTCTGAAGACTGGAAGACTGATGAGGGTTTGCCTCTTAGTAGGCAAACACAAACCTGATTTACAGGCTGTATTTGGTGCATACCTTCTTGAGTAAGTTGATTGTGATCTCCACAGGGACAATTTTGCCCTCCTTGATGTAGTTGGCAATGAGTTGTCCGAACTCTGACCCCTCTCTAGCTCGCTCTTCTCTCAGCAAATCCCCAGCTGACAAATGGGTGTAGTTGTAGCTCTGAGAGACAAAAACGCACAAACCATTTTCAAGATGATCTCATGTGATGAAAACGGTATCAGGAATCAATATCTGCTGAGGGGAAAGTGACAGTTGGTCAAAAAGTTTCTATTAACACTAAAACTATGCATTTGAGAGGACTAAATTATTCTCACTCACAGGCCAGGAAGAAGTCAACCCCTTGGGCACGTAATGAAAGGAGCCTCTATGCATTGCTACCATTCAGGCTTAACCACCGTATTTGACGCATGGCAGCCAACACCCAGTAACATCCGTGAACAGGAGTAGTTAGAAAGTCTCTTTTATAGAAGCTCTCCCTCAGTCAAACACACATATCAATGAATCCACACTGACCCCCCCAGTAGAGCTGCAGCTTCATCAGCCTTCATCAGTTTGACTTTCAGGCAAACATCAAAGCAGCTTCATGGAGTAGAGTTCTGGCTTTTTTAAACTTTTTGGGTGGCTTGTTAGAAATAACTTTCTTTCAAACCCATGCTACTTCTTCAGTGCAGTACATGATGTAGAAGAAATGAATGAAGAATAAATCTTTACCATTGGACTGTTTAACCCTGCTTAACATCAGCCGTGCTCTATAGTCCTACCAAGTTTACAGACTGATCTTTATTAATCTCTATTATTAATAACAACATAGCATATGAGTAACAGCAGGCAACAGTATATATATATATATATGAGTGCATAATTGCATAAAACAGATTAGAGAAACTAAAAAGTTGCCATGTTAATTGTTCCTCAGCCAGTAAAATGTCTAGTCACCATCTGTTTCTGTGTGATTGTGGAGTATCCAAGTGCACTCCAGACTACCACTGTCCATTGCATAACTGCATACATGAGTCAATGATAAGGTTACAACATGCAGCAAATGTCAATAGGCTGTCTCCTGTTTGCTCTGTGTGAAGCTAATGAGCATTACATTTAGCCTATTCATTGAGGCGTCTGAGTACACAACGAAATATTTCTATATTTTATTCTTCTCTTGACTACTGAAGGATTAAAAATATTAAAATGGTACTTAGTGTCTCCAGTATGCCAGCACAGGCTTGTATATCAGCACATAAACTGTACATCCTGTGTGGCTAACTAGCTAGCTGGCTAACAGACAGGTTCATTTTAGAGGACAACCGGAAGTCAATGTAATTTAGACATTGCCTTATAAAAACTGAGCTATTAAAAGGCACAACCATCATAAAATCCGCTCAATACTATTCCCATCACGACATGCTAAATCCTAACCATCAAAGTCAGTAGTTTCCATTGTCCTGTCTCTCGCCATCTCTCGTACCTCCACGATTTTGCAGCACTGGGTCCCTTTACCGGCGCCCGGCCCGCCCAGCACGAACACCACTTGCGGCTTCATCATCAGCGACACCCGGTACAACAAGCTCGGCACCCTCTGAGACACGTAACCGAACAAACGGCCGATCATAAACCAGCAGAATCGTCTACAGGCGTGAACCGGCGGGGTGGGGACAAGAGATAATGAGCCGAGCTGACCGGTGGATGCGTGTCAGTGTCGGAGGGTAGGAAGTCGATGAGGCAAACGACACCACTTCCGCTGTTGACTCCAGCGACCAATGGGGCTCCACGTAGGAGTGATGCAGGCACGAGGCCACGCCCACTTGCACTTGTTATTTTTTTCAATGCAGAGGTCGGGTGACGCCCCTCCCCTGCCTCTCCAGCATCAGCACCTCCAAAACCGAACAAGGCGACCCGCGGTTGGGAAAGGATGCTCTCCGCTCCGCGATGCTCACCAGCGCGAGGAAACGCAGCGACGAGACGGATCACCGAGAGCCGCTCGAGCCGCTGGGTATAGCCGCTGTTTTCTGCACGTTTATGCTGCCTCGCTGCCTCCATTCATGATGCACCATTCATGCATCCCCAAGAATGGAAACACTCTGCGAGGAAAACATAAAAATAGCCCGTTATAGCCGTGTTGTCTCGCCTTTATAAGACACATTCTCGCTCGTTTGATGAAGCCTCTTTTCATGTAGGTCAAGGTGATGAAGAGCCCGATTTTGTCTTTTGAGGGCGCCGCGCGAATGTAGGGCTAATACAGGAAAGCCAAGCAAACAAAAGGCATCCAGCCCCCCTCCTCTGACGCACCTGGCTGCCCTGTCGCCACTTGACATGACAGCGCAGAGCCGGGAGCAGAGCAGCAGGATCAAGGGGCACCGACGTGCAGCCGGACGTGTGGACTCGACAAGGACTAGAGGAGCCTCCGGACGCACGGCGGAGAAGCAGCAGCAGCCCAGGGGAGGCCGGATTGCAGTTTCTGGGGACGAGCGCCAAGGGCAGTGCGGCAGTCAGCAGGCAGACCGGGGGGAGGAGGCTGCGGAGATCTATGATACTTCCCCCCCAGGCCCCACTGCGCTCTCACCTCCACATCATCCTGGAAATATGATGGTGGATGTTTTTATGTTTGATCAATGGTGACTGTGATACTCCCCATTCAGTTTCTCTCAATTTTTCATTCCCAACCAATCAGTGGTGATGGGCAATTAAAAGATTAGATCTGCTCTTCAGGCAAGGGTGGAACCCGGAGGGGACTGATGTGCATACTGGCCAGGTATCATTTGCTCCCTTCTTCTCTGGTTTTGCTCATTTTGCTTGTCGCCTGCACTATGGGCTGTATTCAGAGCATTGCATGCAAGCCCCGCATCAAACGGGAGAACATTGTGGTGTATGAGGTGTCAGCCTCTATTGACCAGTGTCCCACCATCATTGAGGAGAACTCACCGATTGTGCTCCGTTACAAGACGCCTTACTTCAGGGCCTCAGCAGGGGTTGTGATGCCACCAGTGCCCCGTAATGAGACCTGGGTGGTGGGCTGGATCCAGGCTTGTACCCAGATGGAGTTCTACAACACCTATGGTGATATTGGCATGTAAGTGTATAGAAGACCCCATCACAACATGAACTTTTTGCCACCGAGTGAGTGTGAATCAGTGTGTGTGTTTAGTATGTTGTGTGGATGTGCACACTCACACACACTCAGGACATCTACACCACAAACCTGCACCTGCCACAGCAAAAAAACAAAAAGCCGCTCAACCTCTCAGTCTGTCCTCCTCTGTCCAACTGCCGCAGGTCCAGCTGGGAGTTACCAGAGCTGCGAGAGGGTCGGGTCAAGGCCATCAGTGACTCAGACGGCGTCAGCTACCCCTGGTATGGCAACACCACCGAGACAGTCACCCTGACTGGACCCACGTCCAAACCATCCCGTCTGACGGTCAGCATGAACGACAACTTCTACCCCAGCGTGACCTGGGCTGTGCCCATCAGCAACAGCAACACGCCGATGCTGACACACATTACCAGGGACCAGAGCTTCATCACCTGGCTGGTGGCCATGAACTCTGTCACCAAGGTAGGACAAAAACGGACAGAGCAGCCTGACACTCAAGATGAAACAATGTCTCTCACATGCAATTCACATCTTAATAAATCACTATGTTATTATCTTTTGCACCAGCATGTCACAGATATGTTTTGTCCAGTTTAAATGAAGAACACTGGCTATACATCAAACTGCTCCTGCACTACATACACAGACAGACTGTGATGTAATCATCTCCCCCTGCACTTTCCCTTTCTGGTGTAAAGTTACAAAGCACCTCATCATGCCTTCTCCTGAATAAAGCCCCTGCAATGGCCCGTCAGGAGTCAGTACAGTATTCATGTATTGTCTTTGTGGAAGAGTTATATTCTTTCAGGCTATTATATAGAAAATTGGCAGACCTGGTTGCTTCATTGTTGGTTTATAGTTTGAGAGCAGCATCCAAACTTTCTTCGGTTTATATTCAGCAATGCGTAAGTGATACACCATTTATTAGGCTACACATTAACCACACATCTATCAGTAGTAGAGGATGTAACGCACAATCAACTTAAGCTTTAACAAAACACTCTTCATGTACTTAAAATAGACTGCACCCTGCATACACATATAAAAAGCATCGACCATATTAACTATAATTATGCTGCTCTCCTCCTCCAGGAACGTATCGTGTTGCAGACGGTGCGGTGGCGGATGCGGGTGGACATTGCCGTAGACCCAGACATGCCCCTGGGCTCTCGGGCCTCGTTGGTGGGTCGCCCCTACCAGGAGCAGCCGCACATCCTCAACTACCAGGAGCCCATTCCTCCCAACGCACTGGGGAGGCCGAATGCCAATGACGCCCAAGTGCTAATGTGGAGGCCGCGGAGAGGGGCACCACTAGTGGTCATACCGCCAAAATAAGAGGGTTGAATGATTGCATAGACAAAAGTAAAATTGATCCCTCTTGCATAAAAGTGGGTGTGAAGGTGATGAAGTCATAAAGCCTATCAGAGAAGAGAGAAATTATGGTTTGCCTGCGCTCAGGATGCCAGTGGCTCATTATTCCTGAAAGATTTAAGTGGACTATTACATCAAGCCAGAGTGCACATTACATCTTGGATATGACACACTACGGTATCAAAATGGAAGTCTACAACAAACTAGTGTGAAGGGCCCCACTTGCATCAAGGCTTATTTGGCCCCTGCCAAAGTTTTGGACTGCATTAAAGAGTTCTGCCTGCTTTTTAGCGAAGAAGGAACGCTGTTTTTTTAGACGTATCACAGAGGTATTAGACCACAACGAGAACTGCATCCTGCATCCTTATGTAGATCTTATTGCATGAGAGAGTGAGAAAGACACACAAACTGTCCTTGAGAAGTTTAACAATAGCATTTGTTTTGTATAACTTGATACCTGAAGACATTTTGATTGAAAAGTCAGCCCAAAAAACCCTGCGGGCTGGTTAAACCTCGTCAGTGCCAACAAAGGCCTTTTTCAGCACACTCAGTACCAGAGTTTAAGGATGTATTCAGAAGATTTAAAAGAGACAAAGTATTATATGAATCTTTTTAGTTTAAGATTAACTCATGCATCAGTCAGATTGTATTAAGAGCACCCACCTTGCATAAAAGTCTGGAAGAAAAACAAATACGCTGTAGTTTTCTCTGGAGTTTTGCTAATACACCAACATATTTTCAACTCACTCGCCTCCGCAGTGCAGCTGATATTGTATTCAGATGGGTGACAAACTATCAGAGAGATGAGCTGGACCTGTTAGCAAATTAAATAAATAATGTCAGCTATGCTTTTAATAAGTGCAGTGTAAATGACTTGGAACAGTGCCATACAACAAATTTAAAACAAGAAGGTGATAGCAGTCCAGGCCACATTGATCATAGCTGGAATGAGGCCCAAGTGTACTCAGACCTAAGGTAGACTTGATGTGGTACTAATCAGACCATGTTGCACTACCAAGTTACATAAATCTTCCTTCAATCAGGGAATCCAAATGTACTCTAACAGCTTACTTGGTGTGGAATTAAACCAGACTGCATTTTGACAAGGATTTATTTGAATTAGTGCCATTTTTATTGCTGGTTTTATGAAGTCATATCACAGTTTCCCCTCATATCATTAATGTTTGTTATTTTGCAGTAGTGTTTCTTCAGAAAAACACAGACGAAAGGCCTTCTTGCGTCACGGCTATGGTCTGTCCAGTGGCTCGTACTGGGTCCAGTCCAAGTCCCTGCCTGCCACTCCACGCACAAGTCACATGTCTCATCCTCCATCTGTGCTTCTCTCCAGGTTCACGCCTCACCTTCCCATCTGCCTGCTCATTTTATCCCGTGTTTGTCCACCTCATCACACACACTATCTCCATCCAAATATTCTCATTTGCTCTGAAATCCACAACTATGCAAAGATTATCTGTGACTGTGCAAACAAAAAACAGAGGGAGAAAAAAATGGTAAAATAGAAAAGATGTATTGTTTTGGTTCATCTGCCTCAATTCTGTTTTTATTTGTCAGGGACATTGTTGAATAAAAATGGCTGTTACTACCATGTAAAATAATCACAGAGGTTAAAATAGGTTATATTAATTGAGTGTGTCTACATTTGTCGCGGCACCGCAGCTCATTCAGCCATCTGTTGCTATAGAGACTGGTTTGGTGTTTCTGAGTGCACTGCAACTGGAACAAAAAAAAAACCAAAAAAAACAGTTCAAAATATTCATGCGTGTGCCTAGCTCTGTGTGTATGCATTAGTATGTGTGTGAGAGAGTGTGCACGCATACACACTTACAGCTCCAATTTATCCATTCATGTCACTTTGAAGTAAGAAAAAAGATCAAGGCAGAGCTGGTTGTTTCAGCATGAAAGATGCCTTAATTTATTCATTTGTTCTTACATAAAGACCTTTATTTTGCATTTAAATAACAGTAGAATGAGTGTTTTTGATATAAATACTCTAGACTGTAAGCAGCAAGGTCAAAGCAGTCATATCCCATCTTATCTCATCTCATATAAAAAGGACTTTCAGCATCTTTGAACAGAGGTAACCCCTCCCCTTTGCAGCAAGTTTGCTCCTCATTCCACCACTAGGTGGAAGCTCTGTCAAGGATTTTCCTCTCTTTGAGGGAAGTGCTCTCAGCACCAGTAACACCCTTTTTGTTTTATAAATACACCCCCTTTCCCCATATCCCTTAACATTTAAATACACAATTGAAATATTGAACTATGACAAATGACCATAAAGCCATGCTTTCATCATACTCTCCTCCTGGTCCCTTTAAATGAATCGACAGTATGTTTCCATGGTATGATTCAGTCCAACTATGTTGGTTTAACTGCAACAATGCCTGATGGCATGGCAAGTCAGCTCCACTGTATTCCTGTTAGTATTTTCATAAGAACCTTCGTACCCTCTTTTGTACAAAGCAGCATTTTTCCAGAGGAGGTATGTGTTACATTCAGTCAACAGTCTCCAGCTGCAGTTGTTTGGCAGTTATAGGTTTTATCACTTTCACTTCATGAATTTCTTTCTGCCAAACAGAGTCAGAGTCCTGCTGTCTATGTTGGGTGCAGGCCGTCACTTCTGTCAGGTAGCACAGCCCACAGACGGCTCTGTTTATACTTTAATGGCACTGCTACTGGCAGGTTTGTGCTCGTAGCCGTAAAGAAATGTGGCAGCAATAACCAGCAGTGACCCTAGGAAAAATACCCTGAGAGGAAATAAAGGAGAGAAAATAAACAGGCATTAAAAATGAATTCATTAAAAAAACTATTGTGTCCTCAGTTCATGTCATGTAAACGAGACTCAGTGCCTGCAGCCATGCTAACACCTCTCTGTGTTGTACTTAGACACAGTGGTGCTTTAAGCTAAATTACATCTTAACATTGTGTAAGTTTCAAGATGTTAACCAGGTACAGTGTTTACCATGTTCTTCATCTTAGTTAAGCATGTTAACATTTGCTGATTAGCACTAAACAAGAAAGTACAGATGATGGGAATGTCATTGGTATTTGGTCATAAACCTAGATAACTGAAACTTTGACCTGAAGATGAAGCTAGAAAAAAGGTCTAAGGATCACCACAGAACATGGCAATCCATCTAATAGTTGTCAAGATATTTCATTCAAAACCACAAATGTCATGGTAGGACTGGAGGAAAAATCAGATCAAATCACCAGTACAGACTGTCTGCACACCACTTCATGACAATCAATTCTTTGAGTTGTTCGGTACTTCAGTATGGACTGAAACCAACAGTATGAGTCGCAAATCCAAACTAAGCCTTGTGGGAGTGTGCATGAGCATGTATGTGTTTACCCAGTAGGGTTAAAGTCCTCCAACAGGAAATATGAAATGAGTGCAGACACAATGATGGACAGAGAGGTGGCGAATCCTTTGAGAATGTTGTCTGCATATTTAATGACCATGGCTATGACCAACCCGCCCAGAGCCTGCAGAGAGAGAATAATGTGTTTGAAAGCTTGCTGCACTTACATAGAGACATGTACACCAAACACACCAATGCATTTCAATGACACTTTGATAAATACAGATGTAAACAAATGGGACACAAATGATAAAGTGAGAATGAAAAGAAACATAATGATTCTTACCTGTAAGACAACGACTGTGCAGGTGATAGTGCTGTAGCCCTGAAACATTCCCGACTGTCTCACCCTCGGGCCATCATATACTATCATTCCTACCAAGCCGAACACGAAGCCAAATAAACCTGAAAGAGATCATGTTTTCTGACCACAAGGTATAGTGAAGTTTTAACTGTTTAAATTGCCCACACACAAACACACACACACACACACACACACACACACACACACACACACACACACACAACACACACACACACACAGAGGAGAGAATGTAACAGTTTAATCAAGGTTATAATCACCATTGAACTGAGAAGTTTCAACAGGAGAGAAGAAGTGAAAGAGAGTCTGTAACCCTTTAACCTCCTAACCTCTGCTCTGTCCCAGTCGTAAAAAAGACAACAACAGTTCTCTTTTAAAATATATATGTATGCAAACCATTTAATTATAAGCCATAAACCATGAAGGTCAAATAACAGGTCATCTAAGTGTGCAGCTGGAGAGCAAGATAGCATGAAACTCATTCATGTTTTTTCTGATATCTCCTCTTAAAGGGAAAACAAGATTCCCTCTCTGACCAAACGTATCATTGAACGTATCGTAATTTCATGCCTCTGAATTTTAGTGTAACAGAAAACCCAGTTTCACTGACACGCCACTTTTATTAGTAAAGAATTCGATATGTCCAGCATGAAAGCCTTTAAAAGCGTAATAGGGTCACTTTTGTAGCATGACTCCTCTTACTGCTATGGGAGGAAGATCAGACGGTTCTTGGCCAGAAAACCTGTTAATCTGGCTCAAGAGGCTACGGGAAATTAGGCAATAGCACTAAAATAAAATTTGGATGAGTGATTTCACAATTATTTTGTCAGGAAATGACAACACAACTGTCACTTAATGTTAAACGTCTGTACTATGTAGAAATAGATCTCATTAATCTGTGTTCATGTGAAAAACAGTATGTTGGCCACTTAAATAATTATTTACTGAAAAGTCTTTTAGTTTGACATAAACTCTCATATAGTACACAGAATGTAAACCACATGAAACAGTCAAATTGGAACATTAACAATTTCTGTAGTAGTAACAAGGAATGCTAACTCAGCGTGTCCATGTGTTACATCAAAAACAATATTTTCATCTTCACAGGCATTCAGTACATTAGAGGTCTGTGTTAATGGGGAATTTGAGGCAAATGCTGCAATCAAGTGGCACGACAAAAGAGGAACACACATAAGGCTTGCAGCTAGAGATAAGAAGAGCCATGTTGGTAGAGTGTGCCAACATTAGGAGAGCGAATGAAGGTATAATATTTCCTGTGTCACTAGATTACAGTGACCTGTAAAGAGCTGCATTTTCTCACACTTTGTAAACCTTCATTCAGAGTCACAGATGACAGTATGCACCTGAGTACTACAAGAGCAAATGTGACTGTTTATTATCTTTGGTACAACTTTCTAAAATAGTGTAGTTTGTACATATTTTAAAATTGTGACTAGGGGCTCTATTAATGTTAATAAATCATTAATTGAGACATAATAGTTCAGCAATAACCCATCAATGAGACCAGCTTCTGGGTTGCCAGGTTGCAAAAAATCCCTCAGCTTCTAATCCATTGAATGTACTTTGTAGGCATTTCAGAAACAATTTTGCTAAGGCAATGAGCTACAATTCATATAAAATTTGGAAAATGATAAAAACCTTATATCAGGTCATGTATGTGTCGAACAGAACATGAATTTGAGTGTGAGAGGAGTTGGGTTAGGATGAAGAAAACAGCACCCGTCAAACTCAGTTCAACAAAAGTCTTATTCTATATTATGTCTAACACACACACACACACACACACACACACACACACACACACATGTTACACACAGACCTACTGTGCGCAATATTCACTCAACACATATGGTCTCATCCTACTAAACAAACAGAAGCCATAATTACTGTACCTAGCTGTATGTTTCGGACCCACACGCTCTGTTTAGTCTCCTTGAGGATTTTCTCAAAGTAAACTCCGGCGAAGCCACTGGACACACAGGCCGTCAGTACCGCCATCAGTCCCACAAACTGGGAACCTGCAGACAGGATCTTCTGCTCAGAGTCACCCTCAGACTCTGTGGGCCACTGGGGAAGTTAAACACATGCAAACCGCAAGAGGACTTAAAATCTTTCAGTTAGAGTAATACAAATGATGTAAGACTAAACCATCTGATGAGTGGAGTCATATTCATCCCACAGAAACAAATCACATTGATGCTGCAGTTAAATCTGTGTATTTGCGTCTTTACACTTTCTGTGTCATGCTGGTACCTGCACCAGAGTGACTCCAGCCATGAGGAAGAGCAGCGAGAGCCACTGGTAGGAGGCCAACCTCTTCCCCAGCATGGAGACAGAAAACAGTGCAGTGGTGAGAATCTTCAGCTGGTAGGTGACCTGTGTG